GTTCCATGGGCCCTGTATTCCCTGCATATGAGAAAATGCAAAATGTTCTTGGCACAAAGAAGGAGTCTCCTTCTGCTTCCTCTGATGTGACAAGTGACAGAGTTGGATAGAGCTATAGTCGTCTAGGGAGGGCACCACCCATGGGGTGCAATAAAAGAAAAGTCATACCTGAGGTACTGCTTTGCTTCAGGAATCCTTCATGGCCAGGTGTACTAAAGTCTCTGAGCCAAGCTGGCCTCAGCCAAAGTAATTTTCTTCATTGAATATATTTATCATGGCACTTTTAAAAAGTGCCATGATAAATATATAGAAGTTAAAAGTCAAATTTAAAAGTTTCTGTGAGAGCTAGTACATAAGATTAGAAGTCAGAGGTGAGGAGTTGGGGATCCAGTATTGCCGCTTACTGGCTCTGTGACGTGGGGCTGGCACTCCAGCCCCCCAGATGACTCTTAAGGTGTCAGTCAGCTCTGGTTCCATTGTACCTTGTTATCCAAGGAAGCACGCAACTACACCAGTGAGATAACACAGGAAAGGGTTCATCATGCTCTCTCCCCAACCAAGTGTTTACATCTCTAATCTTCACTATCAGAAAATTATTTTTTACATGTGTCAGTTTTCTTATGTTATGAGTTAAGTCAGAGGGGGAAAATATTTTTTTTCTGCATTACCTAACACTATTTCTAATATTGTAGTTGATTAAAAAATTAATTGGATGACTGGATTTTTTTTTTTTTTTTTTTTTTGCGGTACGCGGGCCTCTCACTGCTGTGGCCTCTCCCGTTGCGGAGCACAGGCTCCGGACGCGCAGGCTCAGCGGCCACGGCTCACGGGCCCAGCCGCTCCGCGGCATGTGGGATCTTCCCGGACCGGGGCACGAACCCGCGTCCCCTGCATCGGCAGGCGGACTCTCAACCACTGCGCCACCAGGGAAGCCTCGGATAACTGGATTTTTTAACTGAAAATAGGAAACCAAGGGCCAGATGATCAGCATAGCTCTACCATTATTGACAGATGATGTTACTGAAAGATGAGTTACTAGCATTCCATATTCTGAGGTTTACTGCAGTTTTTTTTCCATACTAGGAAGGCTACATCAAATTAATTTGGTGGTTCTAGCATAATGGTTCTCCATTCTTTTTTTAAATTATTTTAATTTTTAAAATTGAGGTATAATTGACATAACACTATGTTAATTTCAAGTGTACAACATAATGGTTCAATATTTGTATATAATGCAACATGATCACCACAATAAATCTAGTTAACATCTACCAATATATATAGTTACACCTTTTTCCTTGTGATGAGCACTTTTAAGATCTGCTCTTAGCAATTTTCAAATATGCAATACAGTATTATTGACTATAGTCATCATGCTGTACATTACATATTATATCCACACGACTTATTTATTCTATATCGGGAAGTTTGTACCTTTTGACCTCCCCTCACTTCCTGCCTCTGGGAACCACTAATCTGTTCTCTGTATCTGCAAGCTTCTTTTTTTTCTTTTCTTTTTTCTTTTCTTCTTTCTTCCATTTCCCCTTCCTTCCTTCCGTCCTTCCACATAGTTACTAGCATTGCATATTCTGAGGTTTATTGCAGTTTTTAAAAGTGAGATCATACAATATTTGTCTTTCTCTGTGTAACTTATTCACTTAGCATAATGCCTTCAGGTTCCAATCATGTTGTCACAAATGGCAAGATTTTATTCTTTCTTATGGTTGAGTAATATTCCATTATATATATATATGAGCCACATATTCTTTATCCATTCACCCATTGATGAACAATTAGGTTGTTTATGTGTCTCCAGGCCTTAGCTATGTGTTTACTCCCTGTGTAGACCATTAACCTATGTACGAAGATCCCAAAGATTTGCTGCCTTGGAAAGCTAGGTTGCTAATCATGGGAGGTACACTGAATGGATGTAAAGATGGCTTGGTGTAACCTATCACCAAAACTGGAAAAAGCGTTATTCTACTTTATAATCATCTTGGTACTAGCATTCACATCCCAGAGTCATGAAAAGTTCAAATTAATCTGTCAGGCAGAAAGCAACAAATCAGGGTGAGAAAGTAAAGGGCAGTGAATTGAATTAAACATATTTAATGTAAGTATGGAAAAAACTCCTATACTTCTGAAAGTGTTTTGAGATATCATTTAGATTTGAGAGTCACCAAATTAAAGGAGGTTCTCTAGCTCCCAAGCTATATTCATTAGTTCTATAAACATGCAAGTAGTTGCCATGTTTTTGGTGGATCTGTGCAATCACGGCCAGATATGGATGAAGGAAGCTCCAACACATGGAAAACAAAGCAGACTGCTACACAAGGCTCTTTTATATAAAACTGTTCACTTTTTACTCCTTTTATTAGGACTAAGCTGGATTTTAAACATTTATAAGGACTTCTCATTGCTTTTATTTCCTTTTGGGGTTTCGTATTTTATAGAAGGTATGTGAAGATAACTTAATCCAAAAAGCTTGCATTTAATATGGGGAAAAACACGTTTACATGGTATCCAGATCCTTTATCCAACTATATTTTGCATACTCCTCCAGTTTTTTATTGGTAACTTTTTCTTTCCATGTTCCACAGTATTATTTATCTTTCTGGCATTTACAGAGCTCCCCTTCTATTTTCTCCCTCACCAATAAGCATCTTTCAACTTTTGGCTTCTTTTCAGTCAAAATCACCTCTACATAGCTTATCTTCTTTCCTCCATTCATTTGGATCACATTCCCCATAAACTTGAAAATAAACTTCTAATAAACCCTAATTTGGGATCTATTCCTGAAAAATAATTCAAGTTGGTATAAGTGTTTTAGATTCTCTTTTCTAGGAACCTTGAGAAATAAAGTTAAACGTCATTCCTTCAATTTTACATGTAAAGAATGTAGTTTTAATAGCATTTGAGAAATATACCTATTTATAGGCTATGAATAATAAAAGATTTAGAAGGAATCTGACCAAAATGACATATAATATAAGCAGCAGAGTGGTCTTCAAGTAACACTGTCTTATCTAAAGCAAAGTTCTTTGGTCTGACTCTAATGCCTATTGAGGAACTTTTCTTTATTTGGTTTCCTTTACACTTGGAGTAGAAGAAAAAGGAAAAAAGAAAACTGGAAATGTAAAACAACCCTTCAGTCTGCTTCCAAGAACATCTTGTGCAGCTCACAAGATAACATCTCCACCTAGTGTCATTTTAAGGATCCTACAGCAACTCCTTAAAAAAATGATTAAACTTTTCAGACTAATATGTCTAACACAATTTTAGTTAGTTTAACCTTAAACATGTGTTATTTAGAATTAATTACTTGGAATTGGGGAGGCATCAGCATGAAAATTAACAATGTAAGTATTCTTTTTCTTCAGAGAAATAAAAAGAGCAGCCACAAATAGTAATCAATATGATAGAACAATTATCCTTGTAGTTCCTGAAGTGGAGAAATGACATGTTTAAAAAAAAAAAAAGCTAAGTAGGTGTATCCCATCAGTCTAGGTTTTCTGGTTGCTGTACTTTGAATGCATGCAGCCTATATAAATGAGATTGGTATTCATTGACTGAAAGGCGGAGAGTTTAGGGAAGAGTATTTGTTGAGCTTCTAGTATGCACTGGGTATTATGCCACTTGTTTCTGGACACACTTTGAGACAGTATAACATAACACAGTGGTTTTGTCTGCAGGTTTCAGAGACAAACTGGGGCTACTTATTTGCTATATGACATTGAGTAAACTACTTAAGCTCTGTGTGTTCCAGTTTCCCCAACTGAAACGTGGGGCTACAGGGGGCTAGCATGTTTGCCAAAGTTACTGGGAAAAATAAATGAACTAATATGTGAAAATCCCTTAAAGTTGTTTCTGGCACATAGTAAGTGCTCATTATTAACATCATCATTTAAACCTCATGAACCCCATTTTAAACTAGGGCTCAGAGAAGTTATTTCTCCAGGATGTCATAATCACAAAATGGTAACATAGGGATTTGAGCCCAGATCTGTATGACTCCAAAGTTCTTGCTCATTCCTTACTGTTGGAGTATGTTAAAAAATATATATATATACATATATATATATATATATGTATATATATATATATATACGCACACACGACTTGTTAACTAAGCAAATTTAAGACATTCATTAGTGCCTCGAATATATGGAGACAACAAATTGAAATCACAAATTAGTGTAGAAGAAAGCAACACGAGGTTGGGAATTAGGGGGGCCTGTGTTAACTCAGTGGATTATTCTGGGCATCAGGTTCCTCCTTTGTTAAAGGAGAAGCTACATGATCTAGGTTCTTTCCAGTTCTAATATTCCATGAATCTATGGAGTTGGTTCCTAAAGTCATCTTCTTCTTTTGTTGTCTGCCATATAAACCCAAGCTCTATTTTTAAAGGAGGCAAAATTCAGGGTTATGCGTGCAGAATGTGACACAACCGTATCCATGAAAGCTGGTTTTACACGAGTACAGCCTGGTTCTTCAGCTCCGCCACCGCCAAATCACTCTCCCAACTGATTATAGCTGTACAGTCCGACCTATTACTACTAAGTCTCCGATTCAGCCCAACCTCTTGCGCACTTAAACCAATCAATCTTTACAAGTCTAGTCTATTGCAAATCCTTCTTTTAGGCTTATACCTCCCCACCCCGACCCCAAGTCCTTATTTAAAGAGGTCCATAGTATATATGACTGTCTTGGGTGAGACTACCAGTTTAAGACTTGAAAACGCTGAGAAAAAGAACCTTTACAATGCATCCACATTCCCCCCAAGTGAAGTACGGAAGTTCAAATCACAGCCCTTGTTTTTAAACGCCTCAAGAAAACACTCAGGACCCTTTTCTGGTATCAGTTTCTGCCCAACTGCGCCGACAACTGGCTCTTCTCGCTCCAATTGGCTAAAGCGTCTGTCACTCCAAAAGTTTTGGTCACTGATTGGTCGAGACGTCATTCCGCGTGGGCTGCCAAGGCCACCGAGCGCTGCGCCAGCTGGGAGGCCAGGCTAGGCGCGAGGACGCCGCGAGCTCCTCCACGTGGGCTCCCCTCCCCCCTGCGGCGCCCACCGCTCCGACCGACTGGCCCCGAAACGGTGGCGGCGGTTTGTAGTCGTTGGTCCCAGGGATTTAGGACGAACATTTGAAGACCCGAGGGGTGAGGAAGGGATGGGGGCCGCAGGGACACTGTCAAACCGTTGGTAACGGATGGAGACCCTGCCTCCTGGCTGCAGAAAGCCCTGTCCGACTACCTGCCCCGGCAATTGAGCAGCGGGGACCCAAGCCCGGCGGGAGGCGGTGTTTGCGGGTTGCCCCAACCCCGTCGAGCAGCGAGAGGGCAGGTTCCCTCGGCGTGGCTTCCCGCCCCAGGGGCATTTTTTGAGCAGACTGGGCCCGCCGTCGCTGCTCGCGCCGCGTTGCCTCGCAGGCAGTCTGTCCCCCGCCCCGCGGGCTTGTCTGGGCCCCTCTGCGGCTCCTTCCGTCCGTGGCGCCCTGCCCTCTCTCCGCCTTATTTCCGCTCTCCCCGCCGCCTTCCGGCCGCTTCCCATCCGCTTCCCTCCATGTTCTTCTCCTAACACTCTACTTCCGTCGATCGCCGCAGGTCCAGGCCGCCCGCCTGACCTCCCGGCCGTGCACCTGTTGTCGCACCCGCGCGTCCCCTCTGGAGGCTTTGGGACGACGCCCTGGGCATCCCACTGCTGGGTGAGATTTGGCAATTACGTCGTTCTTTTCATCGAGTTGTAACGGGTATGAGCCTCGAACTTTCTTCTCAGCCTTGGACTCTGTTTTGTTCCTCCCAAAGGGCTCTCTAGTGTGTCGGGTGTTGACAGTGGCGGGCTGCTGGTGGAGAAGGTGTTAGTGACCCCTGCCCCCGCGACAAGCGGCCTGCAGCCATGGACTACTACACGCGTGAATACCCGCACAGTATCATCTTTGTTTCCTAACGCCACATGGTTTTAATTACTAATTAAATAAAAATATATTAGGGGGGTACCGGAAAGACCGCTGAACCTGGAGTCAGGAGACCTGAGGTTTCATCCTTGCATTGGTTTGAATTCTGAGATCCTTGTGAAGCTGCTTGGTTTATTTGGGCACCGTTCCTTCACATGTGAATTTAGTTTAGCTAATGTTGACATTTCTTTAAGCTGTCTCTTTACATTCTTGATGAATACTCTATAGCCTTTATCGTATATGGTGATTCTCATATAGGCCAATATCATGGAACATCAGCAGGTGTTTTTAAAGACTTGCCTTCTTTTACACATCTGTACCACTTTGTGTTTGAGGATGATGCCATAGAACCAGGAAGCAGGATATGTTGCATGTATAAGTAGACTAACATATAAATAACATTCGCGTGTTGATAGAATTTTGCTTATTTAAATAATTAGAAGGTATTTTCCTTCCAAGAATCACTGCAATGTATAGTTGAGGAGTTCGACAAACTTACATTTAGAGCTTTTCAGAATTAAAGTTCATCATGGGCTCTAATGATATATTCCTTTCCAGAGTACACATTAAAAATATTCTATTTTAAGAATAGCTTGTTTGCAATTATGTGCCATTATAGACATAAAGATTAGTATTAGTGCTGCAGTTATTAAATATTAGCAGTGCCATAATTAGCACTGCTTCAATTGCTAATTTTCACTTAAGAAGATGGAGTAATACATATCAACACTTGAAATATAAAGTGAAATGTAAAGTGTATATTTTATTGAAAAATAAGATGTAGCATTACTAGATATATAATGAGGTAAAAATTATTAGTAACAAGAATATGCCCAATTTGTGGACAGAAATTAAGCCTTATATTTTTAAGGATGTCATTTTTGTTGTTAGGAAACTTAGACATGCTAGTTCGAGGAGGGTTTGGTGTAAAATCTGTCCAGATTTACATATTAATGCTGGTTGTTGTTTCTCATTTTATTACCTGAGAGTTGGTGAAGCAAGAAAATGAGGGAAGAAAATATCTCTGTGTTCAAATTGTAACAGATTTCAGGTGACAGATTATAGAAAACCTTATGTAAGTAATGGTAATGCATAATTTTGTAGTAGTGTACAGGAATTTTGGTCCTATTGTGGGTAGCTTTATCCGAAGTTCAAAGAGCATATTACACTTTTGTATTCAAAGCACTATTTTAAAAATTTATTTTTAGTTACAATTATTTTTTAAAGTAGTTCAATTTTTAAGTCTTTTCTGAATTTAAACCTGCCCTCCACAGTATTGCTAGAGGTTGTGAGACACCTAGTACTAAAACTTTTTATACTTTATGTATTTAACTTCTAGGAATAAAAATGTGCTCTCATTCTTTCATAAAAGTAATGGAATTGAACTGATCCATTTATACCCTTTTAATGTTAGACTTACACATCCATACATTTTTGACTAATCCTTCTCATTTTTCCAACCATGTTCCTGTAGTGCAGTCTGTCACTAAAATGAGTTGTTGCTAAAAAACCTCCTTTGACCTGCTAACCATGTACCACACTCAGTAACAACTGAACAAGTGAGGAATTTAATGCCATGTAGTTTAAGGGATGCCTTAAAGATCTAATGTGCTTTCTATAAATGTATTTTGATATTTTAAAAATTAATACTTTTTTACTATTGCATTCAGTTTTTAAAAATCCAAATAAAATTTATAAAATGTTCATTTTCACAACTTCATAAATTTTTACAGTAATTCAGAAGATGAAGTTTCCGTTTAAGTAGTTTGAACACAACTGACAAGTTCCTTTAGATGAATGATTAATTTTCATTTATATTTTGCTAAAATTGTGCTTGTTATTTTTTCATTAATATATTTTCTATTTTGAAAGGGAGTAGGAATTTGAAATTTTATATTTTTGTTAACTTATTAAGATGTTTAATATTAATGAAATATAGTTAGCATTTCAAGCTAAAGGCTTGATTCAAATTGCTGCTTGAATATCTATCCTGTGATTGGCTATACTATCTTAGACTTCTGCTTTATAGCTTAGTGGATTTTTTGTTTTTTCTTTTTCTTCTACTTTTGAAACTGAGATGGCGAGGAATCTTTGAAAGTTCAAAGTTTAGGAAAAAATATTTATCTGTGAAAGCTAGAGTTTATAGAGTACAACAACTTTTAATCTACCCTTCCCACTTTTTTTTTTTTTTTGCATAAACCTTGTATGCCGTTCTCATGCTCAGGACCCTCCTTCCTTTACTCAGATTCCTTGGGTCAGCAGGGTAGGAAGAAAGTTTGTAAAACACTTAAGGTTGTGAATACACAGCTGAAAGTGGCAGAGGACTAACTGAACCTTGGAGGCTTCAGGTGGTATGTCAGCTTTGTCATAATGTATTGGACTGCTATGCTTCCTTGGAATTTTGGTAATTCTCAGATTGATTCTGGAACATTTTGGAATGAATATAAAGATATTGTATGCCTGTTTTAGATTTGATTTATAATTCTCTGGTTGAGGTTCTTGAATTCTGGCTCTTTTAGAAATGTATTTTGGTTAAATTAAGTATGGTCTTCATGTTAGATATTTTTAAACTTTCTTAATTGTGACTTAGATACATGTATATGTTACTTGTGATTTGGAGACTTTAAGAACATACTCCTTTTTAAAGAGAGGGTAGGATTGGTGACTTTCCAGTATATCTTATACTTCTGTAATTTCATGTTTTTATATTTTGATTGAGATTTCTTGAAATGTACTGAATACATTTCTAGTATTTCTTTAGTGAAAAGTCTTTAATGTGGAGTCTGGCCTTTTGGGGGCTTTAGATAATGTGTTCAAAAATATAACTTCAGTGACATGGATTAACCCAAAATATATGTCTATAAAGTAATTGGAGAGGTGGGGTGAGTTGCAGAAATCAGCCATTTAGAGCAGGCTACGCATTACAGTTAAAAAAAAAAAAAATGTCCAAGACTTCTTTGGATAAAATGGAAGCAGAAGCCGTATTTATCTATTATGTTTATAGGCAGTAAATTTCATGTGTAAGGTAGCATATTAAACTAGAGTCTTGTTTTCCTCATCCTTTTTCCTGTAGTCTGTTTTAAAAATAGAAATCTCACACTTCGCTTTTCTGTACATTGTATCAACATGATGTCTTTAGTGTAGTGGGCCAGTATAATGTCCTGTGGGATGTTTATTCCATTAAGGTTCCTCTAGACTAAATGATAGAAGAGAGCCAGAGTTTGTAAATCTCTGAGGGCTTGAGCCTCAGGTCTTTTCAGTTACTAGTTTTGTGACCTTAAGCAAATTTCCTTACCTTACTTACTCTTGATTTTCCAATGTATAAAATTGGAGGTGGTTTAGGGTCCACTTGCAATTATAATATTTTCTTACTGTAAAGTCTTCAGTGATGGTATAATGGCAAAACCTAGAATAAAATCCATCTTAAACAGAGTACTTATATCATTTAAAATGCTTTTGATTTTAAAGGAATGATAGTAGAAAAAAATTGTGTTTAAAGACAAAAGGTTGGTTAACTAATCTTTCTCTCATTAATGATTTTGATTGTCAAAGAGTAGTATCTCTTTTATAAGAATCTATTAATAATACATTGATTTATTTATTGGGATTTGATGTCACATTAATAAAATGTATTCCTGAAGTATAGTATAAGGTACACAGCTGAATATACAGACTTAAGACTTTTCCCTTGATAAGACTTCTTTCCTACTTCTGCCATTTAGTAAATATATAAGGCCAGTAAATTAAAAGAATCTGAAAATTATATAAAGAGAAATGAGACGTTACTAGCCATGATGAAATGAACATGGAAGGAGGAATTAAGGAAAAGCTGAACAGCTTTTTACCTTTTCTGGAGATGGACCTTTACAATGTAGCTTTATTATTTAAAACAAAAGTTCTTTAGGATATCACATATACCTGTTCTTCAAGTGTAAATACATTTTTAAAATGAATTATCAGTACCCAAATAATATTAATGGGTGGATATTCTGTTTTATTACAAGGATGACAGAATGTTGACTATTTAAGCCAGTGTTGAATTCTGTTACTATTCACTGGTTAGACTAGGGCAGATTTAAGTTGTTTTTTTTTTTTATTATATTTGGAAAGATAGCTCTTAATTAAGCTTGCACATATGTGAAAGTTGTGTCTTGGAAGAGGGGGATAAGTTAGGTCATTTCATGTATGGAGCAGCAGTTGGATTAG